GGGGGGCGGGGGTGTGCGGGGAGACTCAGGTCCGTCCAGTGACCTCCATGCGGGCCCATCTCCAGGTGTCTCAGTCTGCTCCGTGGCAGGCATGGGGGAGCCTGTTTGTGGGACGGTGGTCCGCAGGTTTTCTCGGCAGAGGATGTTTCCTGGACACTTGACTATCCCCCAGCCTTGACAACCAGCCCGGCCCCTCTCAAGCCGCCAAAGCTGGGCTCTCCATCCTGGCTGCAAATGAGCCTCCTGGAGATTTCAACAACCCCAGGTCCAGGACAAACTAAACTTCCTGAGGTGGGGCCTGGGCACGCCTAGTTTACACAAGCCCCCCAGGTGACTCCTGAGCCAGGAGAATTGAGTCCCTGGAATGGAGGAAGCTGGTCTCAGCACCTCACACTGTGTCTCACCTGGGGAGGGTGTGGCCCTGCAGCCTGGAAATAATTACAGCCCTCAGGCCAGGAACCCTCCTGCACTCTGCCTCCATGGAGTACCTAGTAGGTAATCAAAGGTTAGGCCCAAACAAACGTTTGCTCTCCGGCTTATGAAGGATTAGTACCCAGCACAATTCCTCTGTAATCTTACTTTGCAGTAAGTACTACTGTGTGGGCCACACGCACACACCAGGCCTCAGGGTCACTTCTGGCTACCTCTTCCCTCCCCTCCAAGCGCAGAGCTCAAAGTGGCCGAACTGAACTGTCAGCCTTCCCTTTTCAAATGCAACCAACGTCAGCACGATAAATGTATATAGTGCAGCCCTAGCCAGTTTGGCTAAGTGGGTAGAGAGTTGGCCTGTGGACCAAAGGGTCCCAGGTTCGATTCTGGTTAAGGGCATGTACATCGGTTACAGGCCCCTCCCTGGCCAGGGCCCTGATCGGGGTGCCAGCAGGAGGTAACCAATCTATGTGTTTCTCTCACCTCGATGTTTCTCTCTGTCTTTCCTTCTCTCTTCCACTCTCTCTAAAAATCAATGGAGCCCTAACTGGTTTGGTTCAGTGGATAGAACATCGGCCTGCAGACTGAAGGGTCCCAGATTCGAATCCGGTCAAGGGCATGTACCTTGGTTGGGGGCACATCCCCAGTAGGGGGTGTGCAAGAGGCAGCTGATCAATGTTTCTCTCTCATTGATATTTCTAACTTTCTATCCCTCTCCCTTCCTCTCTGTAAAAAATCAATAAAATATATTTTTTTTAAAAAGTAACAAAAAGTAAAAATCAATGGAAAAATATCCTCGGGTGAGGATTAAAAAAAGAATATATATAGTGGGTGTCAGGTAGGGATAAACTGGATCATCCTCTGGAAATTCTGTTTCTTTGTTACTAATGTTGTGGCCCCACCCCATAACAAAGAAACAGAATTTCCGGAGGATGAGGCCCAGAAATCAGGATTTTAAAAAGATTCCCAGGTGATTCTAATGTGCAGCCAAGGTTGAGAACCACTGCTGTAGAGAATGAAAGGTTTGACACAACCAGATGCAATCGGTGGCCCTTGGTTGCACCTGGGTTGAACAAATCAGCTGCAGAAAGACATCGGGGATTTCAAATATGCACTGGGCATTAGGTGAGGTTGAGGAGAGTCTGTTCATCTGGGTAGGTGTGTTGATGGAATGGGTTAAGAGGTGAACAAGGTATCAGCTAGAAGATCATATGGAAGACGCTACTGGTGAAAGACCAGGAAGGTGGGATTTGCTTTAAGACTCTCCATCCAAATAAAAGGGGTGGGGAGCTCTTGAGCACTCACCACTGATGCTGGGTGAAGGGTACATGGAGATTCATGAGGCTCTGATTTTTGTGTATGTGAACATTTTTCCATAATAAAACGTTTAAAAATAAAGAAAAGAGTGATCAACTCTTCCCAGTGCTGCTGAGCAGAAGAGCAAGATGAGGATGGAGACATGACCCTAAATTTCCCAGGATCAATGTTGTTGGTGACCTTGCCAGGAACAGATTAGGGTGGGGATGAAAGCCTGGTTGAAATAGGTTCCCATTTGCTCATACGAGGGAGGAGATGAAAAACTGCCAAGTAAGACAACTCTTTTAAGGTTTTTTGCTACAAAGGAAGTAACAAGGTGGGAGCTGGGGAGAGAAGAGGCGTGTAGGTGAGGCAGTTCTTTGCATAAGATGGGACACGTGAATGGATAAACTGAGGAGGGCCCTAACCGTTTTTGGCTCGGTGGGTAGAGCGTCGGCCTGCGGTCTGAAGGGTCCAAGGTTCGATTCCAGTCAAGGGCATGTACCTCGGTTGTGGGCACATCCCCAGTAGGGGGTGTGCAGGAGGCAGCTGATTGATGTTTCTCTCTCATCGATGTTTCTGACTCCCCTTCCTCTCTGTAAAAAATCAATGAAATATATTTTAAAAAAAAAAACTGAGGAGGAATAAAGGAGGGGGTGGGGGATTATAGGGCTAAGAGAGGGAAGGAACTACTCCCCCCCAAAACACACACATGCACATGCACACACACACACGTGCACAGGCAGAAGGGTAGCCTTTAGGACAGGAGGAAAGCAGTCATGCTTGGGGTGGCTCAAGACACAGGTCAGAGGAGAGTGCTTGGTCTTGCCGAAGCCAGGTCACCCCGGTCGCGTGAGTGGGTGTCAAACACTCGGGAACCGTGGGCCTGAGTCTAAGCTGTTACCAGATCTCACGGTGGAAGAGGCCCTCTCTCCGTGGAGAGTGGGGCTCGAGGAAAAAATGCTTTTGGTGCCACAGTGGGAAAAGCATCCCTAACATGCTCCAGACCCACTGTCTGTAGTCACCCTGCCTGGCAGGCCTGGCCAACTGAGCCTGGCTGGGAGCTGGGGGTCTGCTGGCACCAGCCACATGGTCCTGGCTGAGAAAACTGAAGCCTCAGGGTGAGGACAGTGGCCCGGGTACAGCCCTTGCAGCCACTCACAGCCCAGCTCTAGGACCCCACACCTTGGAGGCCAGGAGCATGTCTGGGGTTAACCCCAAACCTGTTGATATGATACCTACTCCTTTTTATTGAATTTATTGGGGTGACAGTTCACAAAACCATACGGGCTTCAAGTGTACAACTCAACAAAACATCATCTGCACACATTGCATCGTGCAGTCATCTCCCCAAATAAAGTCTCTTTTTGCCCCAATCATACCCCCCCACACTTTTGCCCACCTCCACTCCCCTATCCCCCGACTAGCACCATACTGTTGTCTGTGTCTGTGTCATATTTGCTTAATCACTCCATCTTCTTTCATCCAGCCTCCTGTCTGACAGCTGTCAGCCTGTTTCATGTATCCATGCCTCTGTTTCTATTTTATTTGTCATTTTATTTTGTTCATTAGATTCCACATATAAACGAGACCATATGGTATTTGTCTTTCTCTGACTCATGATATGCCCACTCTTAATGCTGCTCCCTCCCCAGGCCCTGGCTAACTCTCTACCCCTATCTGCCTGAGCCTCCCGAACACACACACACACACACACACACACACACACACACACACACACCTGCTCTTCAACTCCAGTATATATATTCCAGGTTAACTCATTTACTGTCCTTAAAATCCTTGCCCTGGGATTGGTACCTTCCCCTCCAAGTAGGATCTACAAGACATCCTCAGAGTCTTTGGTGCCCTTTGCTGCTGTCTTGGCATCTGGCCCATTCCTCTCCTTGGCCTCACCTTGTCCACCAGCAAGTGGGCGCTCCCAGGTCCCTGACCAATGACCTACTTCAGATCTGAATTAGCATGGGCATGTGTTGTAACATACCAACCCCAAAATGTATCATGGTACAAACACAAGAGTAGTGTATGTCTCTTTCCTGTAAAATTCAAAATGGGTGAGCGCCTGCTCTTCCTCCTGAAGAAGTACCTGGCCCCACCAGGCACTTGTGAATAGTGGGTTCTCTCCTCCAAGCAGTGATTCAGGGACCCAGGCTCCTTTCACCTAGTGGCTCTGCCATATTCAACACACGGTCCTCAAGGTCGCTGTGAGGTCTGCATCAAGCCAGCAGACAAATGACAGAGCAGAGGAGCATGCAGGAGTTTTGGGGGGCCAGGTCTGGGAATAGCATACATGTCCACACATTCTATGGGCCAGAACTTGGTCATATGACCCATCGAATTGCAAGGGAGGCTGGGAAACGTAGTCCAGCTCTACGCCCAGGTGGAAGAAGAACTGGATTTGGTGCCCTGCCAGGCAGTTTCCACCACAGACCCCTAGCTCCATCTCCACCATTGGCTTCTCCAGGCCCCTCCCTTCTTTTTACCTGTTCTCACGTTGGCCCTCCTGACCCCAAACTCCTGCCCTGTCCTACATCCGTCACTCTGCAGCTTCATCCTGTACAAGCTGACACCCAAGAAAAGACCAGCCCCTGAGGGTCAGAGAGGCACACAGAAGAGGTTTATTCCTCATGAGTTTACACAACCACAGCACAGAACAAAAGATAAAGTGCAGACAGCTCAGGGCGAGGGTAGAGGGCCTCTCACACTGCCTTCCCATCTATCCACCCACCTGAGTAGGGCACACACCGGGCATGAAAGCTGGGGAGTTGTGGGCCCACCTTTGGGTGCTGGCAGAGGCAGAAAGGAGGGTCAGGAGATGAGACCGGGGCCCTGCTGGGGTGGGTGGTGAGGAAGAGCTGCCCGAACTCAGGTCTCTCCGAATGAAGGGGCCCCTCCTTCCTTGGCCTTCCGCAGCCCCACCCCACCCTGGCTGGCTAGCTGGTTCCTACAGAGAGATGGTAAGGGAGCTGCCACCACAGTGCTGAGTGAGGGGAGGGGAGAGACTGCAGTGACATCTCAGTAGGCCCCTGAGACCCCAGGGAGCCCCTCACGAGCCAAGTCACCTGTCCCTTCAGCAGTTCTCCTGATGACCTGCCTGTGACTCCACCATGAAGGCTAAAGCTGTCCCTCCCTTTCCTTGTGAAAAGCAAACACCCTGGGAGAGGACAGCATTCAAAAGGTGCCTGGAGCTCGGCCATCCCCCCCCCCCGACTCATCCCCCCCTCCCCCCCGACTGGACTCAGGCTCACCCCAGAACGATGGCTGATGGAAGAGCCCCTTCTCTCAAAGCCCAATACCTCCCTGGACCCAGGACGCCAATGCCCCCAAAATGCTGCTCCTCCTCATGGCAGAAGAGGGGACACCAGAGGGAGAGAAGGAGGCAGGGAAGAAGCCACTGGGGTGCAGGGAAATCCAGAAGCCCTTTCCTAGAGGAAAGGCACACCCCTCTGTACTTAAGTGGGGGTGGGACGGGGACCCAGCCCTGCTCCATCACCCCTTCAGTATGGTCAAGGGGACAAGGCTACACCAGACACAGACCAACAGACAGACACAGTCAGATGAAGGCCACCAGGTGGAGGCTGCTGGGCAGAAAATGCCTCTTACTCGCCATCCCAGCCTCGACTCATGGCCTGTACCACGGCCCCGTAGAGCTGGCGCCAGGCTGCTCGCACGGCTGGTGTGAAGGCAGGGCCCAGGCACTTCTCCAACATGTAGAGCAGGGCCTCGCCCACCGTCTGCAGAGGCAAGGAGCACCTTGTCATTCCCAAGGCAGGAAGGCATCACTCCATTCCACAGGTGAGAAAACCGAGGCCTGGGGCTGGGACGGACTCCTGGGCCTTTCCTCTCTCCTGCACAGGGTTCATGCTTTCTGAGCAGGATTCTGCCCCAATCCTTGGGTACCACACTGCACCCACTTTCCCCCTTAAAGTGAGTCTTTATAGTGAACAAAGCCTTTCACCCCACTCCCAGCCTTGAAACCACCCAAGGAGTGAGACAGAGGCATTGCCTGGGACTCCCAGCTCAGACCAAGCAGAGCCATTGCCCACAGGCCTGTTTCCTCCTCTGCAAGGCAGCACTCGTGGTGTGAAGAGCCCGGGGGCTCTGTAACCAGCTGGGCCTCGGTTCACTTTCTGACCCCACCACTTATGAACTGCGACCTTGAGCAAGTTATGTCACCTCTCTGAGCCTCCGTTGCTTCATCCGTTAAACCAAGAAAGTAAAACCAAAAAAAAAGTTCTGATTCATTGGGTTGTTGAAATGATTAAATGAGGTCATCTATAAAAAGCTTAGTATAGCATCTGCGCACAGTAAGCCTTCATGTTTAGTCATAATAAAATACGATTTATTTATTCCACTAATATTTACTGACTGTCCACTGGAGACCAGGCACTGTGCTAGCGTGGGAGATGAAGAGCGCCAGACAAACTCGGCCCCGTCCTCCAGTGCCTACCATCTGGCAGGATGACTGGTCTATGTGGTAGACGGCCACGTCAGTGCCCCAGTGAACCCCATCTTGAGTAGGGATCCTCCCCCTTGACACTGGGCTCAGCTGTGTAACTGGCTTTGGCCCATGGGCTGTTAGCCAGATGAGGCATTAGCAAGAGTAGTGCAAGCAGAGTCTGGGAAAGCACTTGCACAATGGGCTTGACCTCTTCGAACACTCCCTCTTAGAACTCAGCTGCTGCGCTGGACAGACGCTGGGCCAGACCACCGAGTGATGAGGCCACAGGGAGAGAGACCCCGAGGATGCCAGGCCACCCTGGACATTCCACCCCCAGCCGAGCTTCAGCTGAGTGCACTGCATGAGTGGCTCTAGCCACACCACATGGAACAGAAGAGAGCCCAGAGAAATTAGGCATCGTTGTTGGTTTGAGATGGTCTTATACACGGGAACAGAAAACTGAGCAGACTGGCTAATCACACAGGCTCCTTAACGTTCTATGGTTCTAAGAGAAGTCACTCCAGAGAAGAAAAGTTGGAGGCTCAGAGAGGTCAAGGCAGCACCAGGATCACACAGCACGTGTGTAACAGATGCAGGTCCCTCGCCCAGTCGTGTGAGGGTATAGGAAGGGGGAGGTAAGAGAGGACCGGGAGAGAGTGGTGGCCTCAGGTCAGGAGCTCAGGAGAGAGAGGAGCCCCTCTACACACCGAGAAGGAGCTGAGCTTCACACCCACTGCACGGTGCTTCCGGCCCAGGCCGGCCAGGTACTCCTCCAGCGAGGACAGGTCCTCCACATTGGTCACCGCAGCATCGATCACGAGCATCACCTGTCAAGGCCAAGGTAGCCGTGAGACAGGCAGAGCCATCTTCCTGCTCACACCCACAGTCTAGAGCCTGGGGGTCCCGACTAGAGGTAAAAGAGTCATGAGAAATGGAAAGTAACCTGTGTCTGTATACAGTAGGTGTTCAATGTGTGGTGGCCGACATGGTGAGAGAAGCCTCTGAGGGGCTCAAAGCTCTAAGCATGCCTGCGGGACAGTGTTGTCTGCCTGGGACGAGGGGAAACAGAGGCCCTGGGAGAGCCTCTAAGAAAACCCAGCTTGGTTTTCGCAGGGAGAGAGACCCCGAGGATGCCAGGCCACCCTGGACATTCCACCCCCAGCCGAGCGCCAGCCCCTAGTAGATGAACGCCCCTAGTAGATGAGCGCCAGCACCACCCAAAGGAGCCAGGGACGAGGCCCAGGGCAATGACAGAGCTGGGACCAGCTGGCCGAACACAGGGTGGGGAGAAGGCTGACTGGCCCAGACTGGGTCCAGCTCAGTGCAGAGGGAAAGGAGGAGGGCAGTAAGCCCAGGCCTGGGGCAGAAAACCATCATTTTCACTACCCCATGTCCCTCATTCTCTCCCAGGAAGGCGCCTGCTGGATCCTGGAGGCCACCCCAGCTCATCCTTCCCCTCACCTTCCTGATGTGGTCCAGGAACTCGGGGGAGGAGAGGCAGTCCTCGGGGCTGGAGTACTGGCCGCAGTTGTACTGGAAGAGGGGCAGCAGGTCGGGCTCCAGGTCAAACAGCCTGCAGGGGGAGGCCTGCGTCAGCCCCAGGTGTTAGCCCCAGCAAGCCCCACGAGCCCTGGCTGCCACAGTGGGAGTGGGGGTGGGCTGGAGGTTTGGCCGTAAACGACAGCATACCCTCCAACCTGGTACTGACCCCTTCACCAGCTTTGCCGAAACCCCTTCCTAGAAAGAACATGGGTCCCCAGGCCACTCTAGGACCCAGCATGTTGAGGGGACTGGGGCAAGAAGGGATTCTCAAACAGAAAGCCTGGGAAAAGGCTCTCTCTCTCTCTCTCTTCTCCCAACCCTTCCCATTTTGGGGTCAGAATCTCCTAGTCTCATCGTGTCTGAGGGGGCTCTGGCCAGGATGATAATAATAGTTAAGAACTCCTTACCTATTTTATGGAGGAAACAAAAGCCCAGAGAGGTTAAGGAGCTTCCCTAGGGCCACACAGTTCAGAACCACAGAGGGGGCCTGAGTAAGCCGGGGAAAGTCGGGAGACACAAAGCAGAAGCTCTCAGCCACATCTGAGAGGGAGCATCTGGGTTCTGGGTAACTGTGAATTTATTTCCATTGTGGGGGAAGGCAGTGGGGGAGGGCTGGGGGGTTGGGGGTTGGGATTTGCAAAAGCTTCCTCAGAAGTTCTGTGCTGGCTTAGGAAAAACTCTGGTGGAAGGTAACTGTGCCTCATTGTGATGGTTGAGTGGTTAGAGACCCTCCAGCTGAGGTTGAAGATTTGCCTCCTCCTCCCCCTGAGGGGCTGGCACCCCCTTACCCCTCTTCCAGGCGGTGAGACTCGGGCATCTGTCCTCCCCCGCCTGGGGGTTCTCTGTCCTAGCCTGGTCTTTTCCTGGGAAAGGTTGATCCCCCTGTTAGTTGGTGGAAGTGCACTTTCCTGGGACCTGGACCCCGTGCTCTGCCAGCCAGGCACCCAGCGCCCCCTCCCCACACGGATGGTTTCCCCTTACTGGCAGCGGCGAGCACCCCTGGAGTTGCTATCCCAGGAACAAACTCAGGAGGCTCAGAGCCGGGGAGGAGGCCAGCGCCTGGGGTGGTGTCTGCTGGCCCGAGTGTAAGGAGATTCCCGAGAGGACCCACTCCGCCCCCAGAGAGCCTCGTTGGGCCGGATGTACCGCGCGGGAAGCAAGAAGGGGTCCTGGGCCGCTCCTGTGCGCACATCTGGAGGCGCACATCTGAAGGCGCCCGGTGCAGAGGCAGCGGTCAGCTTTCCCTCCTCTGGAGCCGCCAGCCACCTGGAACCCATTCCTGGCCAGGTCCCCTGCCCGCCCTGGCTCGGGGCCACCCTCACCTGGTGAACAGGACGGTGCCGTGCTCCAGTGGGCTGCGGCTCACCGCTTGCCAGCTCTGCCGGATCAGCTCGGGCTCGGGGCGCTCCATGCTCGCCCAAGGACGCGGGGCGAGAGACTGTCACCGCAGGTGCCGCGCCATCTCTGAAGCGACGAGGCCACTCCGCACCCCTGGCAGCCCTGCCCTAGTGGAGGCGCCCCAATCCTGCCGGCCCCTCTGGCGCTTCTAGGGACCCTGCTCCGGCCGCAGCTCCCTGCGCCCCGCGGCTCCGAGAGTGCCCCACGCTGCACAGCCCTGAGCCGACCCACCCGGGGCTTTAAAGCAAACACGGCCCCGCCCCCTCCGGCCATCAAAGCGCACGTCTCTGGGCAAGGCTCTGGCCCAGACCTGGTGGCACGGGCAGTGCCGGCTTCAGAGCTGCACAGAAATCATGGAGCCTGCACTGAATTTGATTGTCTCAGGTAGGCTCTGCATGAGCCACCTTTCCACAAGCCTCTCAAACATTTCCTGAAGCGTTTGAGTTGTCACCCCCCTGGCACAGGGTCTCCTCCCCTCCTTCCCAGGGTCAGGCCGGGGGATGCCAGGGCCGCTACCTGTACGACTAGGCTGAGGTTAGGGCTGCCCTCTGCCCTGGTTCTGGATCTGACTGAGAAACCCCGACTCCTCAGGGGCACTCACCCTTAGGGACAGGGCCCGACCGCAGCCATTTCCAGCCAGGGTTTCCCGCGACTCCATGCGTAGAGACCTGTGGGCTCCAACTCCAGCCCCAGTTCTGCATGGCAGGGTGGGGTCGCAGCTGCAGCAGCTGTGAGCATCGCCCTATGTGGACTTTGAGGGAGTTAAGCGCGAACAGTCCACCATCCCATGATTTTTAAAATATATTTTTATTGATTACAGAGAGAAAGGGAGAGGGAGAGAGTAACATCAATGATGAGAGAATCATTGATCGGCTGCCTCCTGCATGCTCCACAATGGGGATGGAGCCCACAATCCCGGCATGTGCCCTGACCAGGAACTGAACCGTGACCTCCTGGTTCATAGGTAGACACAACCACTGAACCACGCCGGCTGGGCCATCCCACAATTTTTAATAGATTTTTTAAAAGATTAAATAGAAGTACTATGTATGTTATTAAAGTTCAGGCCCAGAATCTCAGGCTTGCCATTCAGGGTGTAAAGTTGGCCACCTGTCAATTAGACCCACTTTCCTGTTTCAGTCATGAAGGTTCCTCAAGCCCCACCAAGTTCTAGGGGCCCAGGTTTGGGAGAGCAGGCACATTGCTCACCATTTCTCATTATTTGGAAGTGTCAGAGCCCATCTCCTCTCAGGCTGTCCACTTCTCTGTGTCCTCAGTTGTGTTCAGTGTACAGCTGGGCTGGGTCTCCATACCCAGCCACTCAGTCCACCGCCTTTGTTTTCACAGACACGAAGGAGGGGCGGGTGCTCTGGGGCCATCAGTTATGGCCAGGCTGCAGCTCCACGGCCAGCCCTGTGCTAGGCATGGAGTGCTGAGTCCCTGCCTTCTAGAACTTCTCCTTCTGGCCCTGAATCTGGATGAAGCGCCTCAGCAGAACTCGCCTTTCCTGCATCCAACTGAGCCTGATGAACCCGTCCAGCTGCTCTCCCTCTTCCAAGGACCCAGGAGTTTGAGTACCCCTAGTCATCTCTCCCCCATCTCTCCACACAGCTCGGCTCTCTGGGCTGGGGCAGGGAGAACAAGGCTGTAAGGCAGCCTGGCTTGTGTCCTAGAGTCTGAGAGCCCCATGTAGGAGCACAAAGGGACGGGAGGCTGAGGGGAGAAGGCCAGGGTGCTCAGGGACTAGTCTTCCAGAATGGCACCCCCTAGCCCTGCAGCCAGGTACAGCAGGTCACAGGGAAAGTCAAGTCTCAAGCGACCTTTACCTTCTTTCAGTGACCAGATGCCCAGTGCTCCCTTCAGGCCAGCTGGCTCCTCGGAGGTTTCCCACTCCACCTTTACATGTCCTGGCAATGGTCTACACTGGCACCCTCTGGCCTCCTTCCTCCGTGGGACAGGGCCTGGGGTCTGATGCGTTAATGGCCTTAGCATGTAGGTGGTGAAGTCAGCACTCCCTCTGCCTTTCTCGAACCAGGAGGAGGCAGGGGAGGGCTGAGTGCACTCTAACCTCTGTTCCCCTGGAGAAAAGGCCAGGGACCTGGCTGGGCCCAAACATTCTCACCAGAGGTGGAGGGTCTGAATCCATATTTGAGTGACTGGGGAAAAGTCATAGGAGCTTCCCTCCCTGCCCGGCATCTGCCCATGATCGGGGCAGGAGGTTCTAATCGAGGAAGTCAGATACTGTTCTGGAGCCAATGCTGTCACTGGGATCAGTCACCACCAATAACAAAGAGCTAGCATTATTGAGCATTTATGTCCAGACACTGAACAAGGCACTTTGCATCTTTTTTTCATCATGAGCTCTTTTCATCCTCACAGTAACTCTATGAAGTAGGTACTATTTATTATACCCTCTTTTTACCATTGAGGAAATGGGGCAAAAAGGTTAAGTAACTAACCCGAGATCATAGTTAGTAAGTGGCAGGCCCAGGATTTGGCCTCAGGTCTCACTCTGGCCCATCCTTTAGGCCTCCATGCTACATGGCCTCCCTCACTTTAGTGGACTGTGACCAAAAGGTATCTCCATAGTTCAGACCAAGCCAAGGTCACTGGGTCTGGGTCAAGGCTGTATTGGAACTGGCTCCTTAGATGGCTTGTGAGAGCCCAGCTCCTACAGTGGCATCAGGTTGGTAACCTGAGGCAGGACATGGTAGGAGTATTTACACCATGAAAATTGGCAAATGCTACAAATCAGGGCTTTTTTTCCCTCCCGGAAACCAGAGGCTGGGTGCACCAGGAAACACCGGGCCCCAGATGAGATGTCAATGTGTTAAGCAGAATGTGCGAAGAAGCAGGCAGATTCTGCACACCTCCGAGCTGGGCCCAGGCCTTCTCCCCAGGGACCCAGGTCTGCCAGCTTGTTCTGGGAAGGTGCTTCTAGCCCCAGGACCAGGCTGGAGAAGCACAAAAAGCCCACCTTGGTGACTAGGCCAAGTTCCACTAATCACTCATCGTGGGACCTTAGGCCAGTAGTTTAATCTCTCATGGGTAGAATGGGGACAAAACCAGCAATGACTTCACTGGACCTTTATGGGGACAAGGGTCACAGATGTCGGGACTTGGTAAACTAAGCTGTGCCAGCCAGGAAGTGTTCGGTCTCTTCTAACCTACCTGCCCTCAGCATTTCCCATCTCCTGAGAGTCTGCATGGCCCGCCATCCCCACCTCCAGCTAAGAGGAGGGTGGTCCTAAGAGGGGGGTGGTTAGTTAGCCAAGAAGCCCCCAACTTCACAGTACAGTGCTACTCCTCTCCATCTCACCCCCCATCTGCTGTCCAACACATCAGCTCTCACCTGCTTTGGACCCTTAATATCACTCCTGAAAACAGACAACCCCTGTCAAGATGGGGGCAGAATGGAACTTGCTACAATGCTGGGCCACTCAGCTGTCTCAGAAGTCATGGACTGTTGCTTTTCTCCCTCTTTTCTACATTGGTGTGGGCAAGTTAAAAGGAAAAAAAATCAGGTCCAGCTTCCTAGTTACTTTGAAATAAATTTATATAAAACAAAATAACCAACATTACTCAGGTAACCTTATTAATGGAGGGCCCAAATGCCCCCCGGGGTAAAATCAGGCTCCCCTGCCTAGCCCAGGGCCTCTGCTGGAATTAGAATGGCCTCAGACCACGATACTCAATAGAATGGTTCTCACACTGAAAACATAATAGTTTGGGGAAGGCCTGGGTAGGGGCGGGGGGGGGGGCAGTGAAGGGGGGCAAAATGGGAGAAAGTGGGAGACATCTGTAATACTGTCAACCATAAGAAATAAAAAAGAAAATAAAAAACATTCTTCTCCTCTTTCCAGGAGCCAGAGGGCGAGTCAGGTTCAATTAAGTGCAACAAGAACAATGGCATTCAAAATAACAGCTATTTATTACAAAAGTAAACGACCTCTGATTACCTGTGGAAACTTTTTTTAAAAAAATGTGGCTCAAGAAGCTGGCTGGAGGTTATCTTCTAACCAATGTCTTCTTTCTCCACCAGCAAGTGTGTGGGACACATTTCTGCCAATTCCTGGGGGCTGGAGGCCATTTCAAAGCACCACCCCACAGCCCCTCTCCCCGCATCTCCCAGCAACAGAACCCCAGCACTTGAAGCTGCATCAAGCCATGTGGCCTTGTCCCCAGAGAAGTGTCTGCCAGTCTGGGCAAGAGAAGAGGGAATGAGCAGACAAGTCTCCTTCTCCCACCCTTGCAAAGCAGTGCAAGAGAGAGAGGAAGCCTTGTCCCCAATGTGGCCAAATCAGCAGCAGAGATGGGCAGGGAGCTGCCTGCGATTCCTCCTCCCTCACCCTCACTCAGAGTGGCTGCCCCGCTGACTCCTTCAGAGTCCTCCCTTCCAACGAGTCTCCACTGGGAAACACAAGGCACAGGGAACACCAGCCACCTCCTGGATGTCACTGTGGGCCGTTGTTCTTCACTAAGAGCCAAGCGCAGACTCCTGCATTCTACCTCCAGGAGAGCCCCCCACATGGCTGCCCTGACCCAGCTCAGAAGAAACCAACTCCACCGATGGGAAGAGGGGAGGGCGAGGGGAGGATGGAGGGCAAGCAGAGGTTTCTCCATCCTGTTCTCCTTCCCTTCCAGAAATACAATTAAGCAAGCAGCCCAGACTCAGCACACAGGCAGTGTTTCCTGCTGGGGGAAGTCAAAAGGGCTGCAGCCCTGGGAGAGGGAGGTCATCAGGCCCCAGATCTAATTAACAAACCTGCCTTGCTTTTGATGTTGCTATATTTCCTCTATTAACATTAATGATGGTTGGTCTCAAGGTCCAAGCATGGCCAGAAGCTTCCCTTCCCATCACCCAGTAGGTAGCACAGCCTGTCCCCAGGACCAATTTCCAGTCTCCGTGGCAACCGCCTCCGAAGATGCTCTAAAGAGCTCTGACCCTGTCAGAGTTGGTAGGGGCTACAGAGGAGGGAAGATGGAGTGTGGCAGATTGGGCATTAACCTTGAAGCATCACAGTCCTCTGAGACCAAATAAATACTCTGTCATGCACTGGGAGGAGGGAGGCAGGCGGAAGGCTGGCCTCGGGTTGGTTCAGTTGGGACCCCAGGGCTTTCTTAATTCTTTTCATTTGGGGAGAAAGTGAAAGGAACAGCTCTGAGCTTCCTGCTTGGGTTCAAAGTAAGAGAGGTGAAACTTTAATGCATTTCTAGGTGCTCCGGGTCTTTGGGGAGAAAGAGATTGA